TCCCAGAATTCCCCAGCCAGCTTGGTGGGCTGGGGAATTCTGGGAGTTGAAGTCCACCCATCTTAAAGTGGCCAAGTTTGGACAACACTGCTCTAAGGCCTTCTATCCAACGCTGATGGCTGCTCTGCTCCTTGCAGAGAAGGTCTCAGATTCCACCTCTATGTACAGTTAGGAGAGCTCTTAAAGAGCGAGAGGGGTCTAGGGAAGATAGATCTATTTATTTATTCATTAATTCATTCTGTGAATGAATGAAGAGCTGGCTTTTCCCATAGGTACTGGGACAGTAAAGGTTGGAACCCAGGAACTGAAGAGATTATGGGTTGGGCACCTGGTTTTTCCTGATTTTTTCCCCCTTCTTTTTGTACTGATGTTATTGTTTGTGCTTGTATCACTGTCGTTAGCTGCCCAGACTTGTGCACTACAAGACGGGCAGCTGTATAAATGTTTTAAATAAACAAATAAATCTGATTTAAACAAATAAATCTGATGGTTGGTATAATGCTTCAATCCAGATGGACTCAGAGGAGCTTACGTTCCTCTTGATAGGTTTGATTTGATTGTTATCCTGTCTGTACTTTGGGTCAACCCAAGATTAAAACAGTAAAGCAAACTAACAAAAGAGCAAATAAATAATAACAAAAACAAATTACAGGTAGACCCTACTTATCAACTGCCTCGTTGAATGACTGTTCAAAGTTATGACAGTGCTGAAAAAATAACTTTACAACCAATGCCCATGTTTATGACCTTTGCAGCGTCCCTCAGTCACGTGATCATCATTACAGTCAGTACGTGTTGTCCTGTGCCTGACCTGTTCTTTTTCTTTTTTTCCCCCCTTGCAGAGCAGAAAGATTGGAGAGGAAGGGATTACGAGAGATTAAGCAAACACACAATGGGGAATACACTGGGCTGTTTGCATAGCATGCTCGTGGCTGCCAGTACCAGCCCATTCCTTTCAATGTGTATTCCCCATTGTGTGCCTGCTTACTGTCTTGTAATCTCTTCCTCTCCAATGAATGTAAAAACAAACATTAATTCCCTTCTTGCTAATTATCCCAACACCGGGGTGAGCATTCCAAGAGCAGGGGAGTGGGGAATAGGAAAGCACAGTCATGGTCACGTGATCTCCCACTTGGCGACCACTTTGCTTAACAACAGAGCTGCTGGTCCCAATTGTGGTCGCTAAACAAGGACTACTTGTAGAAACAGGACTACAACCACAACATCCCAACATGATCAAAGGGGGGGGCGGCTCCCAACTCTAACCAGAACCCCCCCCAGGATTTTCTTAAAAAGCCACTGTCAGCCTTGCAAGGTAGTCCAGACAAGCAGCACACCCAGGAGTACTAGCTCTATCCTTATTGTAAGGTTACATTAACAGAATCTTCCAAGACTGAAAGTACACCTCTCCCCCCTCGCTTTTACAGTCCAAGAAACTAAGGAGGGTCCCTTCTGAGATGTTTGCCACATCCCTATTCCTTTTGCAGACTCAGCTGCCGATTATCTGACCGCTGTCTTGTCTGCGGCTCTTCCTCCTGTCTCCCAAGGTCATTTCCACATACCATTAAGTCACTTTTTTTACAGCTCCAGCTCTTCTGAAACTCAACTTTCCATTTTGGTAAGCCTATCGCTAGGTCTAGATCTGCTTTGATTTAGGGCAGTTTATTCTGTTTATATTAGGCTGCCCTAATGTCATTGTTACAGTGCTGGACTGGAACTTTGGAGACCTGGGTTCAAGTTTCTCCTTGGGTTCAAGTATGGAGCTCACACTGGGCCAGTGACTGAATTTATGTTTCCCACTCCATGTTCAGATACCTCCTGCACATCCCACGCTCGTGAGCGGCACAGGGATCAGCCAATCACAGCCCCTTCAACCGCAAGGCAGCAGAACAGCCATTCCTGCTTGAAGATCTTGGAGAACTGCTTGGCTGGATTACACCAACAGCCTCCCTATCCCACGGCAGCCCATGAGATGCTGTCAGGAAGCCCATGGAGGACAACAGCACCACCATCCCCGCCATTCACATCCCCAGTATTTGATCCTGAGAAATGCTGATCCCGCAAATGCATTTTGCTTCTTGCACTAAAATTAAAACTGCACAGCCTCCCCCCCCGATGTGTTTAGGCCAGGGGTCCCCAAACTCTTCAGCTCATCAACCCCTTCATGAAGTTTGTTAATCGACCCCCAAACGTTTATGATATGAAAATAATTTAATAAGTACTACTTTAACTAGCAGTATTACGAACAACAATAATGACAACTCAAGGCCACTCTTGCGGGTGGCTGACCATCCAACCCTGGGTAACACTGACTTGCTGCTAACCATCTCACCTTCAGAACTAGGGACTGGCGTGGAGCTCCACAGAGACCCCAAAAGATGAACTGACCCATTGACCTTCCATCATTTATCGACCACCTATTGACCCCCAGCCATACCCTGACCCCTTTTGACCCCCAGCCATTTATCGACCTGTTGGACAGTCCCATTGACCCTTGGGGGTCGATACTGACCACTTTGGGGAACCCTGGTTAAGACCAACCCCTCTTGGACCACCATCCAAAACAGCTAGGACTGCTCTGTTCTGTGGAGCTGTGCTGAAATCCACCTGGCATTTTTGCAAGTCTCCTTCCTGGGTGGCGTCTCTTTTCTACCTTACTCTCAAGGGCTTTAAGAATTTATTTTGAATTTCCCCGGCGGGGGGGGGGAGGAGTTGAGCTGCCTTTGCTGCTCAGGAGGCAGAAGGTAGAGACAACAAGGACTGTTATATTTGCTTGGTGAGACCTTTTTCAATCCCTCTGAAGGGTGTCTGGCTGCCCTCGCTTTCTAATCTGCCACAGCCCCGGGGAGGGTTTCATTTGTTTATTTAGAACATTTATATGGCCACCCAACTCAGATGTGACTCTGGACGGGATAAAAAGAAAAGTCAAACAAAAATGCAAAACAACTCACCCGAATGCCTACTGTTAAAACCAACAAAGACAATAAAGTGGCAATCAGAAGGGAAATACTCTACGACTCATCAGCTGGGAACTCCGCTCATCCTGACTCAAGCATTGGGGGAAATCCAGGTCTTGATTGCCTTTTTGAAGGCCTGCAAGTCAGGCCTTGTTTTTTTGGGGGGGGGTAGCAAAGGGCAGGGGCCACCCCTCCTGGGTCCCATCACTCTGGGTCAGGCACCAGAGTGCGTCCTCCCTATGGGAGTGTGTGGGGTGCTGGACCCCCATGAGGGTTTCCCTTGGAACTGAATTCCCCCAGAGCTTCGTTTGGCTCTGCCTCTGCTAGCCTTTAGGAAAGCTTTGAAAACTTGGCTGTTCCAGCAGGGCCAGGGCCAGGGCAAATAGTAAACCCACATAAATGTTTGATCATTTCATTTTTATATTCTCCAAGGCCTTGTTATGACTTTTATCCCTTCCCATTCCATTTGGGTTTTATGAGATGTTTTAAAACCCTCAGTTGCTTGACGTTATGCGGCCTTATAAAATGAATAAAGCAAACAAACCAACAAATAAAATTGCAGAGTGGATAGTCCAATGAAAGATAGGGCACTCGCACTCAAACCATTCGGCCGCCTCATTGCTAATATAGTCCTCGCTTAATGACTGTTCACGTAGTGACCGTTCAAAATTACAACGGTGCCAAAAAAGTGACTTACGACCGGTGCCTGAAGTTATGTCCATCGCAGCACCCCCATGATCGCCATTTGCGACCTTCCCAGCCAGCTTCCGGCAAGCAAAGTCAATGGGGAACTGTGTGATTCACTTAACAACTGCCACAAAAAAGGTAATAAAATCAGGTCTGGTCATGTGATGATTTACACAATGACCTTAACTTAGTGACCTAAATTCCGGTTCCAATTGCAGTTGTTAAGCGAGGACTACCTGTAAGTGCAAAAATGCTCATCCTCTGCTCAGAACTGCACTAAAATTCTTTTCTCCTTTGAAAGAAATATCCACAGCAAAAACTTTCATCAAACAGAGGGAATATAAAAAAAATGCAGAACTTTCTCGCGTGGCATTAGTTTTAGCCATACCTTATGAGAAGGGGTGCTTAGTTTTGTTTTACCAAAAGCTCCTCCCACTCATTTCCACTGAGATCTAAACACAAAAGAGGCATTTCTCTTATCCATTTATCCACACCTCTGTCCAACTGCTACTGTATTAATAAACTAAAAGCATTGATTTATTGCTAACCCAGTTCCTCATTAACCAGCTCCATTGTCTCCTTTAGAAAGCTCACACTAGCAGGGTCGGACAGCCTTTCTCCTGCAGTGATGCTGAACTTCAAGCCCCCTAATCTGCAGTCCTCATACTGGTTGGGGGTCACGGGAACGACATGCAAGAGGAGACAAGAGGTTGCAGGGAGGCTGGCTGACATCCCAGCCAACCCTCAGCCAACAGGCTTCCGCAGCAAGAACCCTGACCCAGGAACGCCGCCGCTTACATGCTCGGCTTCGCACTTCTTGTTTTTCTTTTTCTTCTTCTTGTTCTTGCCTTTCATGTTCGTGTCTTCTGAATTGGCCCAGCATTCCACACAACTGTCCCCGTCCTCCTCCTTGTCTTCGCAGCGGTGGACGCACGTGTCATCACCTGCAAGAAAGAAAGAGAGGCTTGAGCGGGGTGGGGGGAGGCCCCCAGGACCCCCACCCTCCACCCAAACTGTGCTCCAGAGGATGACAAACGTTGGTCAGGAGGCGCCCTCCACCCGGGAGGGGGCTAGCAGACATCTAGCACAAGGCCTGCATATCCACAGAGCCTGACAGTCATGCTGATTTGGGAGGAGGCGGGGGGCTGCTGTTTCTTCCGGGGCCACGATCTGCTGCTATTTAGTCCTGGAGCTACCAGTGCTCAAAAAGGGTTTTGAAATTATATCCTCCCCCTGAAAAAGGTGATTCAAAACAAAAAGCAAACAGATGAAAAGTAACTAATTGGCAGCTGAGAATTGGTGGCACGCCAGGACCCTGAAAACTGGAGCCATCACAGCAACGGGAGGGAAGAACAGGCAGGGACGGAGAAGAGAAGCACAAGGTTAAAACTGGGTAAAGTCTAGCCCACCCTGCCTGGGACCCTCTTTTTGCATACACTCTGATCTTTCTGGGAGTTAAAATCATCATCATCATCATCATCATCAAAAAAAAGTGCATGTTTGCTTAAACATTCACTTTGCTTAAACCTAAATTCAACCCATCATGCACCCCCCCCACCCCCCGCCGTTTTCCCTTTTTAAAAAGCACAACTGCTGGCTCTAAAGACATTTACCATCCCCAGCTGAGTGGATCAGATAACCACGATGAGAAGAACTCAACCCTACCTAAAAACGTGTAACTCCAGCAATTCCACCAGAATGAACCATGTGCCAGGCTATAAGTAGGTACAAAATGGGGAGCAAAGTCTTATCTATTCACTGGATCGATACACCACCTGCATCACGAGCACTTTAGTGGTGAACACTCCATAAAACTTTTCTTTTTCTTTTCTGGGTGTGCCTTCAAGTCAGCCTTGACTCCCGGCAGATACCGGGACAAGTCCCTGAGTTTTCTTGGCTACATTTTTGGAAGTGGTTTGCCCTTGCCTTCTTCCTGGGGCTGAGAGTGAGCAAGCGACTGGCCTAAAGTCACTCAGCTGCCTCCAGGCCTAAGGTGGGACTAAGTCTCCCGGTTTCTAGTCCAGCGAAACTGTGTCTCAGAGACTTTTGCCGAGTCTAAAATTCAGAAATGAACTTAGCTGCATAAGGCTGCTAAAGATAGAGCAAAGTACTGCTGTGTCCTGGTTAGCGCAGCCACACACCTGAGGGCAACACAGCCAGCCCTCTGCTCACGAAGACCAAGGCCGAGCTTCTGAGGTGCTACGAGGCTGAAAAAGAGCAGCCGGTGATGCATGACGCCACCGTTGTCTTCTCTTAAAAGAAAAGTGGGCAATCAGGCTACAGAGGGTACTTGACCATTTCTGCTGCCCAGCTGAGTTGACTTCAACCCTGCCTTTCCAGTCAAGAAAGCCTAAACACTTATTTAAAAGAGCAGCCATCACATGAGTGGATATCTACAGAGGCTATAAAAAGGGCAGAGAGTCTCTTTACACACAGCCATACAGTTGGAAGCACTGCACCTGAGGTGTCTGAGACCCCACTGCCCTTCTAAGTCTTCAGAAGCAAAGCAAAACTGAGTGACTGCCATGGTCAGCTCCCAGACTACTAAAGATTCAGGAGCCTGTTATGTCAACAGACAAGTTTCTTTGTTATCAGCAAAGAGACCTGCCTCCTCGCCACATCACCAGAAGGCTGTTCGAAGGAACGTCAAAAACCATCCACCCTAATGTCCATTGATTCTAAGTGGGAATGAGTTCAGTTGCTGCCATTCTTGTAACCCCATCCCTTCCATCTCAGTAAATCTTGCTAAAGAGTCTCTGCTTGGAAGAAGCTGGATAACAACAAACAAAGATAGATTTGCAGGAACACGTTCCCGTTGTTTCAAAAACCTGGGAAGTCCAAGCCCAAGAAAGACCGCCCCCCAAAAGGGAAAACCGGAGAAAGGATAGCCACACAAACAGTTGACACCATTCCTACCATTTTCATCGTGGTTGCAAATTCCTTCGGTGCAAGCTATGTCCGAGCCCTCCCGTGAACCTGTTTCGCTGCCCTCCATGCTGGAGGAATAGCCACAATCACTGCCATTACAATGGGCAGATAAACCTGGAAGAGACATAAGAGTTGTTCAGAGGAATGGCCAAAGACATCTTCCCTTTCTGGATCCCACAGAAACATCCAAGGACATCAAATACTGCTCTGGGTTTGAACATCACAATAAAAGAGCATTCATCAAGGGGACAGCGAGATGGCAGCCTTTCACATGATGCTGACTGTTACCAAGGCAGGCAAATCTTTTCTCCCCTGCTGTGGGTTGGCCATCTATTTTGGCCGCCCCTATATATATGCGTGCAACATTATGTGAATTGTACAAGAATACGCACTTCCAGAAAAGCCTGCTAGATTCTGTTTGAATTTATTGCATGTTCAGTTAAATGCACAAGGAAGGTACTCATGGCCCACTAATCTGTCCTACTGGCTGGAGTTCAACAGAATCTGGAGGACCACAGGTTCCATAATCCTGCTTTATCATAATAGGAGCGTGCCTAAATTACACCATTACCACCAGCTCAGAAATTCTGCTCTCCCGTGGCACGGCGACAAGGAACTATAAAGCTTTCATTTCAGTTTCTGATTCACTGCAGCTTGTATCAGCCAAGCACAAAGCTTGGTCAGTCCAAGCTTTGATTATGGAAACAAGCCAAGCTCAAGACTGTTCCAAACAAGCCACAGTTAACATTAACCACAGCTGAGGATTTGGACATTGAACTAAGGTTAACATTGAAATTAAAAAGAAAGTTTCTAGCTCCTTGCAGCTGTGAACTGGGAAGGAGCGAAAGGTCACAAAAACCATTATTTTCTTTTCCTTTTATTTTTTTTCCCCTTGACTGCCAAAAGCTCATGTGCTTCTTTCTTGGGGCACTTAGGTATAAGAATACACAAACATTAAGTACAATGTTATGCTTTCATCTTAGTCGCCAAACGGTAAGGATCCATGTTTGTGGGATTTTTAAGAGCAAGAGCCAAGAATATATAGCATTTACCTATGCTGGATAGATGTGGAAGGATCCTGGAGCTTTATTTGTTTATTTCATTAAATGAGTTATGGCCGCCCACTCCAGTAGATTCCATCAATTAAGCATACTTTGTTGGGAAAAGTTATTAAGCTAGTTGCAAATATGCAAGAGGAAGATCATGTTGCAGCACAGAACACACAGAGGTTCTGAAGAATCAAGGAATCAACAGGTAGGGTCCAATGTGCCAGTCAAAACGACGACGGCACTGCAAGCCCCGCCCCTTCTGCATGTGCACGTGATGTCATGAGGCATGTACAAAAGGGGCGGGGCTTGTGGTGCAGCACTGATTTCGTCATGTCCCCTCCAAAGAGGCCTCCAGAAATCACTTAATGAATTGGTAAGAGAAGAGCCAGCCTGGAAATTGACGTGAATAATAATAAATAACCAAATCAGCCAGAACTGAAGCCCCCCAAGAGCTGGCTTGACCTACCTTTCTTTATTTTAGGTGAACCCAGTAAAGTGCCACCAGTGGGACAAGTGCAAGAAGCGTTCGCATTGGTAACAATGACCTCGACGCAGCTGCTCCGCTCTTCTGTGCTGCCACAGGCTGTGCAGCTGGTTTCCAAGAAATTTTCCTTCAAGGAGACAGAAAGGAATGTGAATGCCACGCCCAGAGAGTGTGTGTGTGCAAGCAGGCAGGGACTTGTGCCAGGGCCTGAACGTGCCAAGAGATCCAGCTGGTGCAAATGAGGGATTATTTTACTTGACAACGTTCCTTGGAGCATCCTCAGGAGAACTGGTGAAACGTTGGGATTGCATGGAAGAGCTCCAACAGCTACTAGAGACTGGAATGATGACAATTCTGCAGAAAGTCACAATCTTGGTAAAAGCTCTCTCTGTGAGTCTATTCTGCAAATCCATCTGATTTGGGCCAATCAATGAGCAAATGGGGGGAAAAAACAGGTTCATTCAATAAGCAAACTGGGGGTGGGGGGTATAAATTCAGTCAAAAAATCACTTCGGAGACTTAGCTCTGATGGGTGAAGGATTCAACTCCATTAATATACAACAATGAAAAGGCAATGGTTAAAAGAATCAGCTAAGAGCTTTTCCTCTTCGGGGGAACCTGAATAAATCTAACCTGTCCATCCCAAATTCTATCTATTCTCTGAAATCCGTATTTTTACTTTTTTGGAAACATTACATTAGTTCCACCTCTTGCTGGCACAATAGAAGAGAAGTAACCCATCTTCCAACAGGTTCAGACTGTTTTTCTTTCCCACCCCCAGAAGTTGTAATGGACAGGCCTGGGCTTTTCAGATTTGGGGAGGAATGTAAATTCACCCTTAAAACAGTGGGAAAGGGAACCAATTATGGGGCATTTTCAGCCAAGAGTCAACTTTTGAGGGCCAAACCCCCCAACAATTCACACTCTGTATATGGCACGTGACTTCACCACGCCTAAATTTATGGACATCCTACAATATGGGACCTTTAGCATCACCACTCAATCAAACATCACCGCTCTTAGGCAAAGGGTTGGATTTCTCATATCATTTCCCTGGGTCAACAGAGCCCCTCCCCCAACCTCAGGATGGTCTTAACCCTGGATGCAGAGCTCGATCAGGGTTGGGCAACCTGCAACCCATCTGCAGAACCTCAGTTGTTGTTTTTAATGGTTCCTGGAGCTACAGAGAATAGCTGGAGTACAATGGCAAGGGTGTGACAGCTTGAGTTTCCCTCTTTCAGCTGCACCTCTGCAGCCTGCGAAGCCCCCCACCCCTGTATTCTAACGTACAGCTTCGGAAACAAAAGGCTTTCTTTCTTCCACAAGAACTGGATTACCTACTGATTTTTTTTTTAATGGCTGGATGCTGAAAAAGAAAATCCGGGAGCACCATTCATGGCCTCTTTCCCCATCCTCATTTTATGTTTACGTTGCAAGACAGATTTGGCCAAGGGAGGCTCGATGTGAGCTCCAGGGCTGAGTTGGGATTTGATCCTGGCTATTCCCATCCAATCACCTTGCCGCATCCTTCCAGCTCAGGAAAAGCCACCCTGAGTGAGCCCATCTCTGCATGAGGTTGGGACCAGGCAGGAATCAACGCGGAGCACAGGCCAAGGAGCTCAGCACCCCTCACCTTTTCTTGGCTCCGCATCTCCTTCTCCTCCATCGCTTGCAAGGGAGCAGAGATCTCGCAGGCGCACTTATTTTTCCTCCGGTTCTTCCGTTTCTGGCGTTTCTTCTCCTGCTTCAGCTCCCGCACCCTCTCCTCTTCTGAGAACTCCTCGCACAGCTGCTCCAGCCGGCTAATGCCTTGCACCCTCTCCACCGCCATCTGCTCAGAAAGACAGCAATCAGCAGGGCAAGACAAAGACAGTGTTCTGCTCCTTCCCAAAAGCTGTTATTCCTACACTGCCAGCCTGCATCCTACTCCTCATGTCTCCTGGCCTAACCAAAAGACCTCAGTGAAGATTCTGGGTTTCAGGAAATCCAGGGAAGGAGAAAGGCCTAACAAACAGCAAATGGAGCTGAAGCACCCAGTAAAGAAATCTTCTACGCTTGGGGGGCTATGGTTCAATTTTTCTGGCCTCCAAGTGATTGCTGCTACTGATATTTTGTCTGTCTGTCTGTCTGTCTGTCTATCAATCAATCAATCAATCAATCAATCAAATTTGTATAGCCGCGAATCTCATAGAAAAGTGACTCTGGGCGGCATACAACACTTAATTAAAAAACCAATAAATATACAAAAAACATTCATTATTAAAAACTATAAAAAACACAAAAACAGGAGAGGCTGATGTTAGCCACAGTAAGGGAGCCATCGCAAGATCTCCCCGGTCCCCTGGGGCCCCCAGGCCTGAAGGCACAGCCAGGTTTTGAGGGACCTGCAGAATGTTAAGAGGGATGGAGCTAACCTCACTTCTGGGGGGAGAAGATTCCACAAGGCGGGCGCCATGGCAGAGAAGGCCCAACTCCTGGGACCCGCCAAGTGGAATTCCCTGGCAGACGGGGCCCGCAGCGTGCCTGCTCTGCCAGACCTGATGGGATGGGGAGATGTAATTGGGGAGAGGTGGTCCCTCAAATAACCCAGCCCATGCCATGAAGGGCTTTAAAGGTCAAAACCAGCACCTTGAATTGAATCCAGAAGCAAGCTGGCAACCAATGCAGCTCGCAGAGGAGAGGTGTAACGTGTGCTATTCTACGGGCACACAAAACTGCCTGCGCCACTGCATTTTGCACCAGCTGAAGCTTCTGGATACTCTTCAAGGGCAGCCCCATATAGAGTGCACTACGGAAGTCTAATCAGGAGGTGACTAGGGCATGAGTGACAGTGAGCAGAGCCCCCTGATCCAGGAACAGGAGCAACTGGCGCACAACATAAAGCTGTGCGAAGGCCCTCCTAGCCACGACTGCCACCTGCTCTTTGAGCAGGAGTTGTGAGTCCAGGAGGACTCCAGATTGCACACCGGGTCTGTCTGGGGCAGTGCCACCTCATCCAGCACCAAAGATGCCATAGTCCTAGAACTGGAAGGCCCCAAAACCTAAAGCCACTCAATCTTGCCAGGGTTCAGCTGAAGCCTGTTGTTCTCCATCCAGACCCTCACAGCCTCCAGGCACTGGGGTAAGGGACGTATCAACACACTGATGATACGTCACCCCATGGCGACGGATGAGCTCACCCAGCAGCCTCATGCAGATGTTAAATAAGAGGGGAGAGAGCACCAACCCCTGCAGCACCCCACGATGGGGACCAATGGCAGCATCTCTCCTTCCCAACCACCACTGACTGGAATTGGCCCCGAAGCAAGGAGGTGAACCAGCACAGCACAGCACCGTGCCACCCACCCCAATCCTCTGAGCCGATCCAGAAGGACACCGTCATCGATGGTATCAAAAGCTGCTGAGAGGTCAAGTAGAGCAAGGATCGATGCACAACCCCCATCCCACCCATACTGCTGGTTAGGTAAGGTCAACACATTCAGCTTTATTCTTGTCTGTGTTGTTTAAAGGGGGCCTTAAACCCTGACCTTCAGGGACCCATTTTGCTCCCAACATTTCCCCGGATGAAGAAAAACCAGCCTCTGGCACCCATTTTGTCCCTGAACACCCTTCACTTTCTTCAATTGCACCCAACCAAGAACCCTTGAAAAAGAGGCCACAACTTTGGCCCCTCTTCCCCCCCCCCGCACCCCCCATAGCCAGTGGTGTGCTTGGGAGGCGGCCAAAGAGAGCTTGGGGAAGTCAGATGTAGGTCTGGCTTCTCACCTCATTATTAAACCAACAAGACAGGAAGCTTTCACTTCCCTCCAAGGTCCCTTACGGAACAAGAAAACACTTCAGCGAGATGAACAGCCTTTTTTTTTCTTTTTCTTTTTTTAGGAAAATGGGCCTGTTTGTATGAAGATGAGGAGTGGCTTTCTCATCCTGGCACAGATGGCCGAGATGTCATGAGCAGAATAATTCAGGGCAATTTATTTCGAAGCGTAGCTTCTTTCTCTTGCCTGAAACCCCGTTTAGATTTTATGCACATCTCTGCCTAGAAAGCAGGTCTGAAGTTATTCTGAGGATAACACACGTTCTGATGGGTTTTAGGGCTTTCTCTGAGACGTACCGCTGTAGGAGGAGAGCCGTGTTAATCTATAGCAAAAAAACCAGGAGGAGTCTGGTAGCGCCTTTTCTGATTAGCACATTTTATTAAAAGGCTACAGCGCCCAAAACCGGAGCCCTGATTTCTGGAAACATAACAAGATTCTTCAGGGATAAAGCAAGAATTTTGCAGACCAAAGATCTCAATTTTCATTCCCAGGAACCCAGGACCTCAGAGAAAGCAAGAACGACCAACGATACTGGGCTGGTCAGAGGAAGGGGGAAACTGCAAGCTATTGCTGCTCTTAGAAATATGCAAATGACTTTTCCTGAAATGCAGCTCGCCTACCACCACCGAGCTTCCTTCAATGTGCAACCACAGCATTCGTTTTCTATTGATTCCCATCTTGCCTGCATCAAGCTGACTTTGGCTGATCTCCAAAAAACTAAGCAAGTTTTACTGGTTTACAGTTGGATGGGAGGCCACTAGGAAAACCCAGGCCACACCAGGAAGTAAAAAGAAAATTGTGGAGGAAAGCAATGACCAACTCTTTCCATACTGCTGACAAAAACACTGTATGACATATCCATAAGACATCAAAACTGAGCTCCGCTCGAGGGAATCTATACTAATCGATATAATTATATTGCCTGGGTTGGTACATGTAGCTTCCCACCTGCACTACTACTCCCCTTTTACTTCCACAACAATCCCACGAGATAGGAGCTTAGTTGCACAAACTCACTTGGCTTAAAGAAAGACAACAGTGGTGAGAAACACACCCTATAAAAGTGTCCCAGAAAAGTGCTTGAGGAAAATACACCTTGCAAAATACACCTTATTCCCCGCGATAGATCCCAGGAATACTCCATCTCTAAACAAAGATGTACTTTTTCCTTATATTTTTAGTTGTGGGTGTGTATCTGTTTTCCCTTTGTTTTTTTTCCCCCTTCCCTAAGTAGTTTAGTAAAGGCTTCTGTTTTATTTTCCTCACTATATATAGCTCTTTTGAAATAAATACTAGGCTTCTTTTTAAGTACGTAGCCTTTTATACCCTAGTAATACAACTAAACTCCTGTTTAGTTTATACACAGTGTATGAAGAAAATCCACATGCTTGCTAAGTCAACAGCAACTTGATGGAACATACCCAATCGATCACACACAGTATTACAAACTAATAACTAAGGTTTTCAAAGAAAACGTAACTGCAATTTTTAAAAAGTTTAATAGAATTTTTTTTTTTTTAAAGAAAACACATTTCACCTCTAAACAGTATCGTCTTAGCTTGACTAGGGATGTATCTTAGGGAAGCATCTAGAACAGGGTTTCTCAACCTTGGCGACTTGAGGATGTGTGGACTTCAACTCCCAGAATTCCCCAGCCA